ACAATGTCTCACTAAGTTGCCCAGGCTGGGCTTGAAATTGCCATCCTCCTGCCTCAGCCTCCCAATGTGCTGGGATTATAGGTGTGTGCCACCACACTGGGCTTGGACTTCAGAACTGTAAAGCGTTTCTGGAGAAAGAACAGAACCCACTATAATCAAGCTCTTCCCAGCTCTCAGTACCCTGAGACTGAGAGTCAGGCTCAGGTTGGCTCACTTTGTGAGAGATGGGGTCTAGTGTTTCAAAAAGGGCTGCAAGAGAGCTCCATGCGTGAAGCCTGCTAGGACCCAGCCGCAATCCATGAGGCATTGCCTGGGATTGCCCTGTATTCAGAACCTTTCCATCTATCTGTAGAGTGAAGATTGTTTTGCTATGCTGGTAGGAACTTAGTGACAGCGTGCAGTCAGAGCAGAGGCTGTAGCCAGTAACAAACATCCCAGCTCACATGCTGGTACTACACACTCTGTGCCGGGCGCTTTCCAGGATTAGTTTCTTTAATCCTCACAACGCCCTTTTAGCGCAGGTCCTTGTGCCCATTTTACTCATGAGGAAACAGACAATCAGAGAGGTTAAGAATCTTCCCCAAAGTTGCACAGCTGGTGAGACCCGCAGCCAGGATTTGAAAATGGACTTTGTGGGCTCTGTTGTGATATAGGGATGCTAGCACAGTGGGGCGGGGTGGGCATGGCTGGAGGGGACTTTGCGGAGCAGAAGCGGATGCTTCTGGGACTGCTGTACTTTTAAGAGGTTCTTTGTGAGGAGTCAAGGTCTCAGTTGCAAGGTATGTGATCACTCTTGGGACCTGCTCTGTCCCACTGGCGGATAGACTCAGAGGAGTCCCTGTTCTCATACAGTGCTTGCAAAGGGAGCTGTATAGGCAGGAAATGTTGGTTTAAGAAGAGTTTAGACTCACAGGTGGATTACAGAGCAAGACCAAGAATTAAGGAGCACAAGGAGGCCTGGAAGGACATCACTGCCCCTTTCCTCTTGGTGTCAAGCAGCCACAGCAGGGTTTTCCTGAAACCACCTTGGCACAGCTCTCAGGACAGGTGCCCAGGCAGGTCAGCCTTGGTCCCAAGATTGTTTTCATGATCTTTCTGTGTGTGTACAGCTGATGCTTATCTGTGTGGGCTCAAGGGAACAAGAATGTGCCTCGCTTTTCTGAACAAAGGTGGCAATTCCATGCATATCAGACATTGTTGGGCTTACATTCCGATAAGGTCATCGAAAGTTGAAAATACCCTAAGTAGATACCATGTAATCCCTCAGCCAAGGCCACAGCATGGGCCCCAAAGCTGTACCTGCCCAAGGTCACACATCTGTTAAGCGGTGGAGCTAGGATTCAGAACCACACAGCACCAGCATTCTCCGGGAAGGGGGTGGGGAGAGATGACGCTTGTCCCATGCGCCTGTAGCACGCAAGCTTCAACTGCCATCCTTTAACATCTAACCTGTCTTCGAGGTGTTTAAGTCCGCTCCACTGCATCCACTTCTGCTCATGACTGGAGAACTGTTTTAGGTATGAATTCTCTTTTCCAACAATAGAGTATCATAATACAGGTGACCTCATTTCTTTTAAATATGCTTTTGGATTTTGAAAATAAATCAATGAAAGCCAGACATGATGGTGCACACCTGTAATCCCAGCACTCGGGAGGCTGAGGCAGGAGGATCGTTGCGAGTTCGAGGCCAGCCTGGGCTACAAAATAGGCTCAAGTCCAGCCTGAACTGCATAGCGACACCCTGTCTCAAAAAGACCAAAAAAAAGAAAGAAAAAGAAAATAAATCAGTGAAAATCAGGATCCCATGATTGTCAATGAGTAGTACCTCACTGTAGTACATTTAAGTGGTAAAAGACAGAACTGGTTCTTTTCTCAGCAACGCTACTGGAAATGAATGGGACAAGCCCTCTCCGAGTGCACACGGCTTTTGCAGAACTTAGTCTTTTCAGAGAAGTCATGTTACGTTGGCTTCTGATTCTTTTTGGCTCCTCTTTCTCAGCTGTGAGGATGCCATGTGAATTACAGTAGGGCCCCTTAGGTCTGAAGCATTGAGAGGCACCCTCCTTGCCCCTGGGAACCCCGTGTTGGAAGACGTTCATATAAAGATTTTGTTTCTTCCAGCAAAAGAGAGTCACAGCTCCACGGCTGGGGCACAAAGGCCGTGCCAGGGTGCACTATCATAATGACATGTGGGGGACGTCCTGCCTGCTGAGCTTGTCTTTCCCTTCAGCTATCAGATTTTGATTTGGGTTAAACCAACATGAACTTGAAGACAGCCGGCTTTCCTGCGACCCTAGCCAGGGAGTTGTAGGAGTGAGGGTGAGCTGGAGGCTGTCACTGGGCTGGCCAGGCAAGGTGGCCTGGTCTCCAGCCAAGGCAGGAGAGGGGTCTTTAGGGGATACCTACCGTGTGTGCCTGGCACTGGGTCTGGACTCTGGATGTGACAGATTTCATCACTGTGTTCACACAGCATTAAGAGGAACCCAGACCTTCCGCAGGACAGAACGAGGGCAAAACCAACTGACAGCCAGGCACGGAGCATGCCGCAGAGCCCGGGGAAGGGGGCCCCTAACTGAGGCCTGAAGTGAGAACCAGCTGAAGAGGCTGCCGCGGCGGCTAGCGGAGAAGCAGCAGGTGTGAAGCCGGTGGTAAATTTCAGCAGAAGAGCGGGAGGTGGGTGGGAAAGACAGGCCCCAGGGACAGGTCACACCCAGGTCTCATTTGCTTTGTGGCCCTGCCCACGTCCCACCTCTTTCGCCCCCCACAGAACACTGAAGTTGGCAGCGCCTGCTCTGTGCAGGGCACGGGTGCGCCCGAGCCTTGGTGGCGGGACCTCATCTTCACACAGCATTTGAAGGCGCTGTCTCACGTTCTCCCTGCAAATCCTTTAAAACATACGCATTTCAAAGAAGAAACAGGCTCAGAAGGTCTGGCTTAAGATGACACAGCCTGAAAGCACCAGAGGCAAGAGGCGTGTAGAAGTTTTGCCGCCACACTCCCTCCGCCCTCCCTCTCCCCGTCTCTGTCGCTGCCTTCCCCTCCGTCCTTCCCACTCCTGTCTTCCACCTTCCTCTTCCTCCTCGTCTTCCCTCAGCAACGACTGTCAACCTCGATTGTGAAAAAACACCGAGGAGCTTCGGGAACAGGCAGCTGTCCAGCCCCACCGCACCCCCACCCCTGTGATCTGATCAGGGCAGACGGGCGGGTCTCCGGGCCCGGCTTCTTTGGCTTCTGACCTGCAAAACAAGGAGGCAGCTCTCCTCGGCCCAGAGGGGCACCCCAGGCATGACAAGAGGGGTCCCAGCCCCTCCCAAGACCGAACAACAGCCGGCTCTTTAACCAAAGGCGGCTCTCACCTTGATAAAATTTTTCACCTTACTAAAATTTTTAAAGATAAAGTGAGGCTGTCGGACTCGATGACATCTAAGAGCCGTCATTCTGTGCTCTGGCAGAATTTCTGGTTGAAATTCAAGCCCAAGAGGTTTCCTGTTGGGCCAGCATTATGGGGAGACCCGGTTAACAGCCGAACCCCTGGAAGCCACCCTCCTGCCCTGCAAGGTGGCAAGGAGGAAAGGGGCAGGCAGAGGGGGCCTTGTTCACCCCAGAGCCTGGCTGTGCACACTACGTCCTCCTCTTATGCAGCCCTGGGGTGTTTTAATTCTCCCAAGTTCAGAGGTCAAGAGGGTTAAGATACACAGCACAAGAGGGTCAGCCCTGCATTTGCATAGGAGACAGTGGCTGGTTCTTGTGTTGACCTTTGGTTAAAGGCGGGGTGATACACTGTTTTCCCTCCCCAGCACTAGCCTGCTGATGGTCATTCCACAGGGATGACCCAGCCCTGCTGCGGGGCCCTCCGGTCTAGTCTGATCTAATCTGCCCTCGCTTGATGTGAAGAAAATACTTAGAATACTAGGGGGTTAAGTTGTTAGTTTAGAGCTCTCTAGAGGAACATAACAGAAACCCACGGGAGATACAAACGCAAGGGGGAAAGAGGCTCAAGAACACAGAACTGAAGAGAACACAGAAGTCACGGGACCAGAAAGCTTCGGAAACTCTGCATTTCTCCCTTCTTGTTTCTGTGTGTCTGTAAATCAGGTCCCCTATTTCCCTAAGTGGTCCGCTAGAATAGAGCCAAGCCCAGACTCCCCACTCCTCCACCCTGTCTCTGTGGGACGTGTCACAGTCCCCGCCTTGGAGATGCCCTGGGTGCGGTTCCTGCAGAGAGAATCAGGTCCATCCTGGTCAGTATCTATGCTCAGAGAGTGTAGCCATGCTGTAGGCCCATGCCTGCCAGGGCCAGTGTGTAAGTGCGCGCGTGTGTGCATGTGTGTGTGTGTGTGTGTGTGTGTGTGTGTGCACATGCGCCTGTGTGTTCATGCCAGTAAGAAGAGCCATTCTATGGTAAAACAAAAAGTGTCATTTGCTCACAGGTGACACAACACCCGGCTACTAGGACGTAACACCCAGCAGTTCACTTCCCCTTTCGATTCTTATTTTCCAGAGTTAAACAAATAAGCCACTGGTAATAATTGCTAAATGAAATTTATAGCAGTCCACTGGATCAGACTGGACGGGTCAAATGGACAATAAAATGGAGTCACTTGTGCTCAGGCCCCACAACACCATGCCAAAACAGAGTTGCTCATCTGACTTGCCAAGAAACCAGGAGAAAGAGACTAGGCCACCCCCCCAAATAAGCAAGTCATAGCTGGATTTTCCTCTGTTTTTACCTTCACAAGTAAAAAGTAACTGTGAAACAACCTTGTGTTCTGTTTCTGCTTTTCGCAGCCTTCCCTGTCTATAAAAGCAAACATTTAGCTGGACATGGTGGTACAAGCCTGTAATCCCAGCTCTCTGGGAGGCTGAGGCAGAAGGATTATAAATTCAAGCTCAGCCTGGACAATTTAACAAAACAGGACTGGGGATGTAGCTCAGTGCAAAGGCCCTGGGTTCAATCCCCAACACTGAAAAACAAAACAAAACAGAAAAACAAACTTCTTTTTGACTCAGTAGACTATGCCTTTGATTGGAGCTCTAGTGGCACAATCAGTTAACATGCGGTACTTAAACAGAATATGCCTTTGATTTTATAAAACGAGGTTGTTACGGCTTATATCTAGATGTTCCCCCAAAGTCTCATGTGTTCATAGGGGGGACTTGGGGGAGGTGGCTAGATCATGAGTGTACGATACTGGGTTGATCCACTGATTGGTTTATCATAGCTCTGGGTGTGGATGATGGATTTACTCAAGAGGGAAGACCCACCTTGCATGTGCATAGCACCAACCAATGAGCTTGTAACCTGGAGGGAATAAAAAAGGAAAGAAGAAGGAAGTAGCTCTGCTTTCTGCATGCCATGCCATGGACTCTTTCTCTTCTGCCATGTCCCTCTGCCATGCTGCCCTGCCTTGAAGCCTACTGACTATGGACCTAAACCTCTACAACTTGAGAGCTAAAACAAGCCTTTCCTCCTTGAACTTATAGGGGTCAGGTATTTTGTCCCAGCAATGAGAAAGTAACTAAGACAGAGATGATACCCAATTCTAGAATGACAAATAAAAACCAATTAAGATCTTTATTAGCTAAGCCTCCAGCACTGAAGAGGCTGAAGCAGGAGGATACAGAGTCCAAGGCCAATCTGGAATACCTAGGGAGACTCTGTCTAAACAAACAAAAATAAAACTTTAAATTTGTTATAATTTTGTCTTTTGACCTGGTAAAACATCATTAAACAAGCAAAAAATGAAGTTAATTCATATGTACAACTGCCTTCTCAACCAGGCATTAGTGTGATTTTTTGCTGCTGTTACGTATGTCAGAAACTGAACTCAGTATGATTCAGGGAAAATAGAAGATTCAATATTCACCAAGTAGATGTTATCTGACCTCAGGCTTTTGTGGATCCAAGAGCTGCCTCGCTCTGGCACCTCTCAGTTCTGCCTTTCTCTGCATGTCAGCTTCGATCACTCCTGTGGCTGACTGCCGGCACCACGCTGGGACAGGTGACGGCACGTAGCTCCAGTCTACGGGGGCTGCAGCGCGGAGACCCACAGGTCAATGCAATTAAAGGAAGGTGCGCTGAGCAGCGCCCCATAAGGAGCTTGCTGGAAATCTGTGGGGATGGTTTTGCTTGCACAATGGTGTTGGGAGTTAACATGTACTTGCAGCCTGGCAATCATGAGATAGTTTTATACAAAAAGAAAATTGTCCTGGGTCCCAGCATAATTGCTAACCTCCCACTGCACTATGTGGATGGAAAGCCTATTTATATTTAGGTCTCTACTTAGCCCCACTTTAGACACAAATTATTTCTTGCAGTTGTAATACGACCTACATTGTCCACAAAGACTACTACCAGGTGCAAAGTGAGGGGAAATTGTATTTCCTTCTGCCAGGGTGTTTCCCAAGGCCTTTTGCTGCTCTGCTGTTTTAGAAATCACATCAGCACCAGCAGCGCCACTCATGGTACTGGAGGCGTCTACGGCACACCTGCACACACTCCTCTGCCACCGCCATCCTCCTGCGCCTCTCCACGTCTGGAGCCAGCCTCTGCCTCGTCATTGTGTCTTGCCGTGTGGTGTGCAAGTACACACTGATGCTTATAGTCTGCTACATACTATTTGTACAAATGATTTTATGCTATTATAAGCTGCTCAATTAGGCAGCTGTATCAATTTTTAGCTATACATACATTATCTCTGAATCCCCTTTCCGTACATTAAAGGAATAATAGGAAAGCGTCAGAGAGGTAGCACGCAGTCTGCTGTCTCCTGCTGAGTGAAATCATGTAACCCCTCGGCAAGGGCCCCGAATGCAGCCAGCAGGCACTCTTCGAGGCTTGCCTGGCTGGCTAGGGGGACACTGTGGGGCTGGGGCAAGAAGGGAGGCAGAAGGGACAAGACCCCAGATACCTAACCCCACAGGGACACAGGCACTGGGGAGGCCCCAAGTGGGAAGTAAGGTGCTGCTTTCATGTGAAAGTATAAGGGAAGCTGGATAGGCCAAAGCAGTACTTATCCACAACACACACACACACACACACACACACACACACACACACAATTTAGAAAGCTAAGAAAGGGAGAAGTGTTGATGAACCATTCCCTACCACGGTCTTTGGGGCTTAACAAAACAAACCCACGCCAAATCAGATTGTTAAGGATGCACAACACCGGAAAGCTATCATTAAAATGCAAGAAAAACTGCAAGAGAAGGCCCCAGTCCCCTGTACACAGCACTGGTGATGTGACAATCTCAGAGCTTCCCACGGCTGCGTTGGTGGCTCCGCCAGGCCCAGGCGCAGTGGGGGCCGGCGACACCAGCGGGCAGGTCTGGCGGCCAGGCTGCTGCTGAATGACGAATCTGTCCCCAGGAAGCGGCTGCCCGGCGCTGGCACAGGTCATCTCTGGCTGTACAGCGGCAGTCACATCATAGAGCACCCTGGGGAGCTGAATCCACTCACCGCCGGGAAGAACCGAGCAGGACGCGGGCGGCTCCTGCCCACTGGCGGCCCATCTGGAGGTTTCTCCTTGCGAGCCGCAGACTGTATCTTTTAACACATAAAGGGGCTGGGGATTTAGCTCACTGGCAAAGCGCCTGCTTGGCAAGCGCAAGGTCGTGAGTTCGGCTCCCGGTACCGGAGAAAAAACCAAAAAAAAAAAACAAAAAAAAAAAAACATCAGAACACATAAAAACAAACCCTTTGGAGAGCTCTGTGAATACGGCCTCTCTCGGTTGGGTTTTGCACAAAGCTAGAGAGTGAACAATTGAGACTGTAATATTGATACTCTAATTGACGGAGAGGCTGAGCCTAAGCAGTTAATTTTCCTCTGTTCAGTAAACATCTACAGAGCATACTTGTGGCCTGGCACCCTGGCATGGCACCTAGGGATACAAAGGCTTGGCACTCATAATGGGAATCAGAGTCCACACACAGGTGTCAGGGGGACACAGCGGCTCTCTCACTCTCTCTTTGCCCCTCGGTTTTTTGTTTTTTTGTGTGGGTTTTGTTTTGTTTTGTTTTGTTTTGTTTTTTCCTGTACCAGGAATCGAACTCACGACCTTGTGCTTGCCAGGCAGGTGCTATGCCGCTGCGCTAAATCCCCAGCCCTTCTCCTTGTCCCCTCGAACCCGCCTTCCTGTCCGGTCCTTCTGCAGCTATCAAGCTGACTCCTGCCTCAGGACCTTGTTGTTTGCTGCTCCCTCGTCCCAACACACTGCATGCATCCGGCCCGCTCTTCATCCAGGAGCAGCACCAGTCTTCATCCCCTAACCCCTGAAAACCTTCTCATTAATAAAAGGAAAAAGCGTTCTCTGTGCCCGATGTTCAAGTGTCTGATGTTAAAGCAATGGCTTCTCCTTAGTGAATGTTTTCATTTATGTGAAATTGCTCTTTCAGAACTTTTTTGAAATGAGCTCTCACTAAGTTGCCCAGGTTGGGCTCAAACTCACAGTCCTCCTGCCTCAGCTTCCCAAGTGCGGGTATTATAGGCATGTGCCACGGCGCCCTGTTTGCATGCATTCACCCTTAATTTTCTCAATAATCTTATGAGTCGTGCTACACTTGCTAATATCATCTTTTTGGGGGCAGGGTCCTGGGGATTGAACCAGAGCTTTGACACTGAACTATACCCTCAGTCCATTTTTAAATTTCGAGACAGGATCTAGCTAAACTGCAAAGTTTTCTAGGCGGGGCTTGAACTTGCAGTCCTCGAGCCTCAGCCTCCCAGAGCGCTGGGACAATAGGTGTGTGTCACCACATTTGGGTCTAACAACACAGGCCCACAAGAAAAGTGGATGCAAAGTGCAGAGTGCCCACCCCTGTCCCCACACAAGCACAGCCTTCCCCACAGCACAGTGGCACTGCTGTTACAATCCACGAACCCACCTTGACACCATTGTCATCCAAAGCGCACAGTTTATGTGTAGTGCTAGGGTTCATTTTTGGTGTGATACTGAGGCAAGAGGCACTGAGCAACTTGCCCCAGTCATGCAGAGCTGGCCAGGGGCTCACTGGCTGAGCGCAGGCAGCCGCTCGCACCGCGGACTCTGGGCTTCTCCACCAGAAGTCTGCGGCTCCTCCTAGAACATCAGCTCCACCAGGTACTAAATTAGCCCTAGCTGGGCATGGCAACACACGCCTGTAATCCCAGCACTCAGGAGGCTGAGGCAGGAGGATCGTTGGGAGTTCAAGACCAGCCTGGGCGACAAAGTGAGCTCAAGGCCAGCCTGCATAGCGAGACCCTGTCTCAAAAACACAAAAAAATTAGCCCCCAACAAACACTGGAGGGGACACGCGGAGGGTAGGTATTCCAGCCTGGTCCCAGCACTCCAGGATGCTGTAGCTCTCTGAGTCTGTTTAGAAAGACTTGGGAAATCGAGGTCTGTAGCCACACTGAGCCAGTGTGACAACTGCCAGCAACAGCTGGCAATCCTGGCTGCGGCCTGGATTCCTACCACGACGCTCTCTCAGCTCTCACCCACTTCTCCTGGGCGCCCCACATCAGAGTGCAACCTGCTCCAGCCTCTAGGGGGCGTAGCTCCGTAGCGCCCCCAACTTTTCTCACCTCCTCTTCCTCCGGCTATCTGGACACTCCTGTTCTAGAGCTTGCCTAGCATTCTTTCCCGGACAGAAGGCCCCATCACTCAGTTC